TTTAGCCTTTGAAATCATTTATTTGATAACATTCATACCTAATAGTAAAAGTTTGTATGTTACAGTACATATAAACAGTGCTTCTTCGTCTCTGGCCCAGTGGTGCTCCTCCCTGCCTTCGGCCACTCGGGAGGGGAGTAGCGCACGCTGGCCGCCACCATGCGGCCGAGGACACCTTACGTTCTACACCAAGAATTTGACATTGTTTGCTAAAGAGGCGAGAGCAGCGTGCACTACCCCTGCACCACTGGCCTGCTGGTATACCGAGGGACCATGGCGGGCAACCGTGACACTGAGCGATCACTAGGTCGTAACCCTCTCTAACGGATGGCTCACTGTCACGGGTAGCGGCTACAGCATTTTTAGTAAATGCAACCAAGAATATCCTGTACCTGACACTAAAATAATCTAGTTTGAGCTTTCAGTTAAACCTTAAACACAAAGAGGTCCGCAGCTCACTGCAGAATCTAACAAAACATCATGGTAATTAATATCATCGTGAGGACTGGCTCTTTTTTCAGCCAAAATACTTACAATGCAACTTATATGCATGACAATACAAAAGACAAATATAATGTACATGTACTTCACACTCACGTAGCAAAGAGGTTAGAATGGTTAAGTTAACTAAGTGAAATGAGTGGATGGAATGCTTCCAGGCAGGAGACAAATTGGGCAATGAACAATAATAAAAAACTGTCTCATAGAAAACGGGTTGCAGCTGAGAGAGCAGGGACATTGGCAACTGATTACCTACGGGAGTTCGGGTCTTGGGTGGAGTACCTTGCGCTCACTTTTACTTGCCCACTTTGCCGCGCTTGGAAACATAAGTAGCACTTATCTTTCGCCTCCGCAATGGATTCTACTGTACAAGCACACAACTCTTGCTCAAAAATGAAATAAAATGTAATCTTAGAAATTAGGTGGGTACCTCAAAATGTCCCATCCTACATAAATAAGGCGGCTAAACAATGAAAACAATAACTGGTTACATGGAAAATATGCTTAAATGTGTAAGTAAGAATGAACCAATCTTGCTGTCTATCCTATACCGTCCTAAAGGGGGAGAAACAGTAGTAAGATTGTACTACATATACTATTACAAAACTGGAACAAATACACAGCAAAAATACACAGTATCTCTACAAGAATTGTGAGAAAATTACGTATTTTGGTACAGGACGGTATTGGAGAGGACACATAGCAATACATTTACAGTTATTCATAAGTATTCAATACAGGAGATTTATTCTTGCATCATTCACTACAGCGAACAGCGAAAAGAGACAGAAGAGAGCTGTAAGTTACATGGAGACAACTACGGTACACCTCAGCGGCTCAGAAAAATCAGGAAACGAGATGACGGCCCTTTAGCTGGCTACAGGAGTCAAAATAATGCTAACAGGTCATGAAAAGAGGGCAGGCTACTCTGCTTATTCTTTGTAGTTATACTTTTGTCAATGAAGAACATTGTTTTTCGTATACTGCAGTATTATCACTGTATACTTGTGGTCTAGCTACCTTGCACTACTCCTGCACTACCCATACAAACATGCGCGCTTGGCGAGCCCCGGGTCCGTCGGGCCGGCACAAGCGCGCCACAGGGACCCGTTGCTGCCCTTACACTACCGTACAAACCGTATGGAAAAGGACTTAACATTACCAAATGTTAAACGGACTTCAAAGAGTATTAGAATTTTTCTATCCATACTAATAATATACAGTTACACAAGACCATCTAACTTTTTCCCATTCGATTTTCAAGTGTTATCTATCCATATAAAAATAGACCTACTTCAAGGTTCCAGGTCCTTTAGTGTTCATTATCCAGTGTATCACAAGATCATCTGTGTGGTCTCGTCTTCTCCTAGGTAATACCCTGCATCAAGCGGGCAGCCCCACAAGGAGGCCGCCCTACCATCTGTGCTGCTTTGAGAATGGGCTGGGAGGTACCGCGCCGATCTTTTCCTATGGCTACATCTACAGGAGCTACACATCTGGCCTCGAGAGGCCACACATGCAGTGTAGATGTGACCATTCGCCTCCCAACCGGGTGCGGCCAGCCCGGCCTCGCGGAGGAACCCCGCTGACTGGGGGCCACACCCGACGACTTCTACAAGAGCAGACACAGTACTCGGGCCAGTCAGGGACCAGCACACACACACAATTACACAACCCATCAGAACACAATGGAACACAAACAGAAACAACAGAAACACCCAATGTGCGTTGAAACAACAAACAGACATCTTGAGAGCCAGTTCGGTCTGACCATTGCTTTTTTCCAGTCTTGGTGCTGCTGCCGTCCAGAGTACGTATACTGGGTTGGATGGGGCCCCACTGGGCGTTGTGGCCCTGTGGCCGCGCCGGGGTGTGGTGGGCCGCCCAGTGGAACGTGTGCAGGGCCGGGGGGGCAGCCGGGCCTCTCTGGCCACACTCTCCTACGCTACATGGATACAGAGGCTTGTACGGGTCGCCGCGGACCGCCTGCTGGGCACTA